TAGTGGCGCGATCATAGCTCACTGCAGCCTTGAACTCCTAAGCTCAAACGATCTTCCTGCTTCAGCCTCCCGTGTAACTAGGACTACAGGCACGGACAACCAGGCCCGGAGATGAGGTCTCACTAGGTTGCCCAGGCTGGTCTCAAACGATCCTCCCGGCTCTGCCTCCAGAGTGCTGGGACAACAGGCGTGAATCATCGCCCCTGGCCAGAAAACGACAATTTTTGGAATGTAAGCCCTCACATTTGCTATGCCTTGTCAGCCAAAGTGTGACTTCAACCTGAGAAATAAGGCACTTTCCCTACTCCCTTCTGTTTCTCTCGGCACCCGTACTTCCGCACGGACGTCGTCCAGGGCTGGGCGCACCCCAAACCTCGCAGCGCCGGGGCACGACACGCCCTCACTCGCTGGAAACAGGAACTACAAGCGCCACCCGAGGATTTCTGCGCATGCGCAGAGAGAACAAGACCGAGCGAACGGAAGGGTAGTGGGAGAGGGCGGGGTGAGAAGGACCGCAGTCGACAGGATGGACTGCAAAAAGGACTCAGAAGAATTTAGACTCCACCCAGCCTGAGTGATCCTACAGGCCATTTGTAACTTACTCCGTTCAACTCTCAAAATACAGGGTCAGGTACTGCGTTCTTCAGCCCCTTCCGTCTCCCGATCCTTATAGTCGTGGTTGCTTTCGCGTCATAGGATGAGCGACAACATTCTCTCGTCCTCTTCAAGAAAGACGGGCCCGGAGGCAGGGCGCCCGCGCTTGACGTCACAGGCTAGGGCCGGCTCAGGGAGGGCGGAGCATCAGAACGCGCCGGCTGAGGGAGCCCGGAGCCAAAGGAGAATCTGATTGGCGGCTTGAAAAGGCGGTGCCGACTGAGGCTGCGGTGGGCGGGCTGAGGAGTGGGTCCTCGACTGGTGCGCTTCCGGGTTAATGACGTCACGCTCCTTCGCGGGAGAAATTCGAAAGTGGATTTTGTGCATTGGGACAGGTGAAGTGAAGTGTTTCTCGGGGTTCCCTGGGAATGAAGGGTGGATAGGCGGGGACACGTGAGCGATTTGGGGCGAAGGTACTAAAGAATCTACTCCATAAGAAGCGAACCAGGAAGGATGCTGTTTGGACCAAGACTGGGGGTAACAGTCACGGCTGGCTCGGATGCGTGTAATGATTAGTGCTTGAGCTCCCCTTTTCCCAGCCCCTGCTTTGCAATTTCACCTACGTATGAGGACCAAAGAGGGTTTTGCTGTTTGTAGCACTCATCAAGTCTCCATTACCATTTAGTGACACACGATCATGGTTATTAGAGTCGTGGCAAATGAAATGTGCGGTTCCTTTGGTCATTTATTTATTATTATTTTTTAAATAGAGACGAGGTCTCACAATGTTTCACAGGCTGGTCTCGAACTCCTGGACTCAAGTAATCCTTTCGCTTCGGCCTCCCAAAGTGCTGAGATTACAGGTGTGAGCCACCGCACCCGACCTCCTTTGGTTATTGGGACTGAATGGATTCTTAACAAGATGTTAAATTATTGACTCTGAAACTTTTTAATCTGAAACATTTGGAAGTTTAGGTTTAGGTTCGAAAAATCCTGCCTGTTCAGAAACAGAAGGGTTAAAAGCATTTTGTCATTTTTAACAGGGAGGATGGCTCATATTTTACCTGGGAACATTGAGTTTTATCTATGGATATACGCATATAAAATGTACACATATATATATCAGCACAATAACGCGTGTATGTATATGAATGCGTGTAGGTATATGTATATGCATGTATGTACATATATAATTTTCACAGATATATAATTTTCACAGACCATCTGGATCTCCACACAACTTTTAAAATGTCGCAAATTAATCTTTCACCTGTTAGAGATGGGTCAGCAGTTGGTTTGTCTGACAGAAGTGGGCAGGTTACTTGAAGAAAATGTTTTATCCTTGCTCTTCACTTGAATACAAGGAACTGAACTCAGAATCTCACATTATAGCTTTATTGAATCCTTATAGACCAAGTTTGTGTTCTCAAACTTGAGCATACATCACCATCACTTGGAGGGCTTATTAAAACACAGAGTATTGGGTCTCAACTTCATACTTCCTGATTTAATAGGGCAAGAATAAGACCTGAAAATTTGCATTTTAAACTAACTTCCAGGTGATGCTGTTGGTCCAGGGATGATATCTTTAGAACCAATTTAGGAAAAAGAAAAAATGTTTCTTTCTTTGGCATCTCTGCGAGTCACCATTAGTGATTTTAGATTTCCAGATTTATGCACAAATTACAATTTTATCCAATAGCATAGCTTAACTACTGTACCTGTTGTAATCGTATTGAAAAGATTTTTTTGTTGCAGAGGTATTATAGAATATGTATTTGATCTCAGATACAGAGGTATATTAACACTAAGCTGTAGAAGGAAACATTTAAAACACAAGGGGGCCATCTTGTGGTGACCATAGCAATTCAGAAAACTTTAAAAATTGAATTTGCGCTGTAGAGAACCAAGCATGTGGAGGGGAAAACCAGATTATGAGCACCTGAAAAAAATGTTTTCAGACTACTAATTATTTATATATGTTTACTTAGTTTTCTCTTTACTTGGCAAATTCTTTTTTCACAGAATGTCATCACTTTTACTGTTTTTTTAAATTTTTTTTGAGTTGGAGTCTCACTCTATCGCCCAGACTGGAGTGCAGTGGCTGCTCCCGGCCACCGCAGCCTCGACCTGCTGGGCTCCGGCGATCCTTCCGCCTCAGCCTTCCAAGTAGCTGGAGCTACAGGCTTGCGCTACCACACCCGGCTAAATTTTTGATTTATTGTAGAGATGTGGTCTCGCCTGCCCAGGCGCGTCTCGAACCCGCGGGCTGAGGCAGTCCACTCACCTCAGCCTCCCAAGGCTCGGGATTACAGGCTGAGCCACCGAGCCCGGCTTCACTTTTACTGCTTACCTTGGTAGTTAGATTGTCTTGGAACTCTTTGATACATGTCTCTAGTCAAGTGTTTATTGGCAAAAATTATAGTTAATGCTTATTCTTTTCATCAGGGTTGAATATTCTGTCATTTTTAGTTTTAGGTGGTACAAACAGTTGAATAACCATTTATTGTTTTCTGGACCTGACTGGTATTTAACTTCAAAAGAAACAATGGAAAGCCAAGAATTTATTGTAAGTGTTATCATTTTTCATAATTTGGTTAAATTTCCTCCCTCTCTTTCTTCTTTCAAAGACCCTTCACAAACATCTTGCTAGGGTTGCTGGGTTTAGAGAAAACAAAATAAAAAACAAAAAACAAGACACCTAGTTAAATTTGAATTTCAGATACACAACAGATATTTTTGCATGTCTACATATTGCACTATATTTTACCTGGCAACCCTATCTCTTACCTATTCATGATTGTTATACAAAGTCCTTTGTAACAAATTATTTGGAAGCTTGGGACCAGGAAACAATTTCTTTCTCTTAATGAATTCTCTTCTGTCTAGATTAGTGGTTCTCATACTATTTGATCTCAAGACCCTTTTATGCTCTAAAACATTTTTAGGACCCCACAGAACTTTTGTGTATCCGGCTTATGTCAATGTTTTTCATATTAGAAGTTAAAACAGAAATTAAAAAAATAGTTATTGTTTGACTTAATAGAAGACAAGCGGATTGTCATATTTGCTTTGGCTTTCAGTTGGAGTTAAAAATTGCAACATTGCATATACATAATCCTGGGAAACTCCATTCTGCACCACTGAAGGAATGAGGGTGAAAAGACAAATAACATCATGAAAATAGTTTTGACCTCATAGATGCCTGTAAAGGTCTTATTGACCTCCAGAAATCTCTGGACCACACAGATCATGAGTATTCAACATCACATCATTATAACTCAACAATGTTTGTTTCCCACTGATGATGGCTAGGAAGCTCAAAATTATCTTTGTTGTTCATGTAACATTTCTATTTTGTCCTTGAATTTTTTTCTCTCCTTTCTTTCTTCCTCTGCCTTTTACTACCTAGTTTTCTTTCTTTCTTCCTTCTTCTCTTTGTCTTTTAATTAATGTTTAGTGTTGTTATTGTCATGATATCAGTACCTTTATTTAAAAACATTTAAAATTGACATAGCATACTTGTATATGCTTTTATTATGTAAAGGATGTCTTGAATTTTTTTGTATTTAGGAGGGATATATAAAGTACCTGTCGAATGTATATAAATATAAAACATTACTTTTGTACTTTTGGAAATAAGGTCCTATATACTCATCAAAAGATGAAGAAGTCAAAAGTGTGGCAAGATGGAATTTTGAAGCTCACTCACTTAGGAAACAAAGTAAGTGTTAAGCAGTTGAGAGGACAAGGGCTATGTTCTTGCTTTCTGATTGAATATTACGAAAACTCTGTAGGCTGGGTGTGGTGACTCAAGCCAGTAATCCCAGCACTTTGGGAGGTGGGGGTGCCGGGGCAGATTGTCTGAGTCCAGGGGTTCAGGACCAACCTGGGCAACTTGGTGAGACCTCGTCTCTATGATAAATAAGGAAAATTAGCTGGTCATGGTTGTGCATGCCTGCAGTTCCAGCTACTTGCAAGGCTGAGACAGAAGGATCACCTGAGCCCAGCAGGTCAAGGCTGTGGTGACTGTGAGAGTGCCACAGCACTCCAGCCTGGGTGACAGAGTGAGACTCCGACTCAAAAAACAAAAAACCAAAAAAAAACCAAAACGCTGTAGAAGATAAAATGTGAGATGATTCCCCGTATCACAGTGGTTACTTTGTGCATTATAAAAATAGTTCAGTAAAGGATAGAAAGAATAAATAAGATCTTGTATTTGGTAGCATGACAGAGTGATTATAGTTAACAACAATGTATTGTTTATTTTCAAAATAACTCGAAGAATGGAATCAGAATGTACCTAACAGAGAAATGATAAATGCTTGAGGTGATAGATAACCCTAATTACCCTGATATGATTATTGTACATTATATACCTTTATCAAAACATCACACGTACCCCATAAGTATATACAACTATTTTGTAACCATAGTAATTAAAAATAAAAAATACAAAAATTCAGCCAGTATTATTAAATGTTTTGATTTTTGAAAATTTATATTAAAATGCTTACTACAAAAAAAAAAAAAAAAAAAAAGCAGGCTTTGTAGCGCATGCCTGAAATCTCAGCTACTTGAAGGGTTAAGGCAGGATTGCCTGTGCCCAGGAGGTTGAAGCTATGATGAACCGTGATCATGCCACTACGCTCCAGCATTCTGGGCAACAGAATGAGATCTTGACTCAGAAAAAACCCAAAAAACTACTTACTATAAGCTAGGCATAATACTTTTTTTTTTTCTTTTTGAGTCAGAGTCTCACTCTGTCGCCCAGGCTGGAATGCAGTGGCATGCTCACGGCCACCCCAGCGTGGACCTGATGGCCTCAGACAAACCTTCCACCTCAGCCTTCCAAATGCCAGAGCTACAAGCGTGTGCTACCTTGCCCTGGCTAATATATATATATATACTGATGGTGACATAGAGGCACTGAGAGATGAAGTAACTTGCCCAAGGGTCTCACAGCTAGAAAGTGGAAGAGTCATATGTTAACCCAGGCTTTTTGGATCCAGAGCTTATATCCTAACCATTCTACTATCTCTCTTCATATTACTAATTTAAAAAAAGAACTTTAGTAAGCTGAGTTGATAATATTATATAGGACATTTTAATGATATCCGTGGCCTCCTGAATGAAGTCCATATTCTTCATTCTAACAGTTAAAATATCCATATTCTGTTCTTATTCTACTTATCTGTCATTGTGAGGTTATCACTGAGGAAGGCTTTTGAATAAAGACTGTTTACTATTATTTCTTAAGATTTATTTATATTTAATTTACTAAAGCAGCAAATTAAAAAATATATTTTTACCTTACATATTAAGGTTCAATTTATGTAATCCTGTTAAATTTATAAACCTAGTTAAGTTTAACAGTTACTTTCAGTGGAGTCTTGGCTTAACGTTTATTTTTTATTTTTTTTTGCGTTGGAGTCACTCTGTTGCCCAGGCTGGATTGTGGCAGGCTCATGGCTACCACAGTCTCGACTTGCTTGGCTCCGGTGATCCTTATGCCTCAGCCTTCCAAGTAGCCAGAACTACAGGTGTGCGCTACCACGCTAGGCTAATTTTTGATTTTTTGTAGAGACGAGGTTCGCCAAGTTGCCCAGGCTAGTTTCAAACCCGTGGGCTCAGGCAATCGACTTGCCTTAGCCTCCCAAAGTACTGGGATTATAGGCTGACCCACCGACTCTGGCCTTGGCTGAATGTTTAATCAACTTAAGTTGAAATGCTAAATGCTTTTAAATAATCAGTCTATTAACAGATATAATTTCCTTTAAACATTTTAAATTAAATTTATAAATTTAAAGTATTTTATTTTTCTTCTTTAGCATTTTAGTTGCCCCAACAAACTAAAATGTCCCAAGTATTTCTAGTAATTCTAATAAATTAAATGAATGAAATATAGTTAATCTTAAAGCTGTTTAAGTTTATTTTTGTTTTTTGGAGTTGGAGTCTCACCCTGTCTCCCAGGCTGAAGTGCAGTGGAACGCTCACGGCCACCACAGCATCGACCTGCAAATACCTGAAACTACAGGCATGCGCCACCCTACTTGGCTAATTTTTTGATTTATTGTATAGATGAGATCTTACAAGTTGTTCAGGCTGGTCTCAAACCTGTGGGCTCAAGCAGTCCTCTCACCTCAACCTCCCAAAGTGCTGGGATTATAGGCGTGAACCACCGCACGGCCACCTTTTGCGTTTCTAACACTGTTTATAAACCTATAATAACATTTACTTACCCCTTCCTTTCAATTAAAGAGTTAAATTTCATGGCTGGGCTCGGTGGCGCAGCCTGTAATCCCAGCATTTTGGGAGACTGAGGTGAGTGGATTGCCTGAGTCTGTGGGTTTACCCAGGCAACTTGGTGAGACCTCATCTCTAAAATAAATTTAAAAACTAGCCGGGCATGGGAGTGCACGCCTGTAGTTCCGGCTACTTGGAAGGCCGAGGCAGAAGGATTGCCGGAGCCCAGCAGGTCGAGGCTGCGGTGACTGGGAGTGTGCCACTGTGCTCCAGCCTGGGCGATGGAGTGAGACTCCAACTCAAAAAAAAAAAAGAAAGGTTAAATTTCCAAAATGAGCTTCTCAATTACAAATTTTAAGTTGGAGTCATAAAACTAATTTGTTAGATGCATTTAAAATGTAAATTTTCTAAAATATTACTAGTACCTCTTAAAATAAACTTTTAAAAATTAGAAATAACACACATGCTTTGAATATTAGATTACCTAATATCAGACTGCCTATTTACTAAAACCTATTCATGATCCTATTTAAAAAATGTGGTACTTTTGTTTTGAATACCTTATTATTACTATATCCAGTTCCAGGAGTTACAAGGCACTTTCCTATTGAGTGAAAAAGTGATACTATCCCTAGTGAAAATTGGAATTATCATATCAGTGAAATGAGGTTGCTAATAAGATTTTGGACTGGGACTTGAAACCCAGGAGTTTAGATAATCAGGGTAACTACCAGCATCATCAAGGGACAAATTGAGTCTTGTATTTAGTTCTAGTAACAACAGGATCTCCAAGTCTATGCATTTTAAAGGGTTGATCTCATAGTTGATATCTTTTTTATTTTTTGAGTTGGAGTTACTGTGTCGCCCAGACCGGAGTGCAGTGGCCGTTCCGGCCACCGCAGCCTCAACTTGCTGGGCTCCGGCAATCCTTCCACCTCAGCCTTCCAAGTACCTGGAACTACAGGCGCGCGCTACCACACCCGGCTAATTTTTGATTTATTTTAGAGATGAGGGCTCGCCAAGTTGCCCGGGTGGGTCTCGAACCCGCGGGCTCAGGCAATTCACTCACCTCAGCCTCCCAAGGTGTGGGATTACAGGCTGAGCCACTGAGCCCGGCATAGTTGATATCTTTATGTGCAAGTCATGTCATTATCTAATTCTTTTGATTTGAATAGATGAATGTCCAGGACTGTCCACGTTTATATATATATTTAATTACCTGTCTTACACTAATTAATTCATTCACTATCTGATGCTATTCTATATAATTTTTTCTTTTATATTCTGCCTATTTGTTTAAAGCCAATGTCTTTAAAATCCTGTAGATATTTAAGAGCCATCTGATTGGATTTTGCATGTTCTTCATGTGTTCTGGTTCCAAATTACAATATTATGGTCATGCTAGTGTTTATCTTAAACCATAGTGTACATTTGTTGAGTGCCCATTATATACCTCACACAGTAGGCTTTAGGAAAACAAGGTAAATTAACATGAGCCCGAAATTTTTTCTGATCCAGGAAAGTTAATTATGTCATTATATCCTAAATAACACCCTCATTCCCAAATCCAAGCTATTGCTTGTACTCTTCTCTTGCTAGTAATGTTTTTCTCTCTGCCTGTCCAAATTCTAATTGTCAAAATTGTTTACCTTCCATTAATTAAATCATCAATCAAATACATTGCTGGTAGACAGTGGGAAAAGTCAAATAAGAGATGTGGAGGCAAGGTAAAAGAGCAGTTAACATCAAATATCAAATAGATCTTAGTTTCAATCCTGGCCATTCACTACTTATTAGATGTGTAAACTTAGGCAAATTAATAGTCTTTTTTTTTTTTGAGTCGGTTTCTCACTCTGTCACCCAGGCTGGAGTGCAGTGGCATGCTCATAGCCACCACAGCCTTGACCTGCTGGGCTCAGGCGATCCTTCTGCCTCAGCCTTCCAAGTAGCTGGAACCACGGGCGTCCACCACCACACCCAGCTAATTTTTCATTTTCTTGTAGAGACAAGGTCTCGCCACGTTGCCTAGGCTAGTCTTGAACCCTGGGGCTCAGGCAATCCTCTTGCTTCCATCTCCCAAAGTGGGGATTATAGTTGTGAGCCACCATGCCTCTATCCTCTTCTTTGTAAAGTGAAGAAAATGATCCTTCATAAAATTCCCTGAAGCGTTAAATGAGACACTTATAAAGCCTTTAACAAAGTACCTGCCACATCCTAAGCACACAATAAATGGTAATTTATTATTATAGTTCTTGTCTTCAGGGGACTTTTGTCTAATTTTTGACTAAGGACATAAGGATTATAATATGTATGCTTAATATTCTATGAGATTACAAGGAGAGACATCTGAATCTCACTCCAGTTCCGAGAAGTCTTTCCAGATGAAGAATATTTTTTTATTTTGTTTTGTAAACAAAATTGATAAGTTGGGGGAAGAGAGCTGAAGATGGTATTATGGTCATACCAACATGAATGTGTGAAATGTGGGGAGATATAGCAATTAAATATGGCTGGAATGAAGGGCCCAAATAGGGAAATGATGCAAAATAAATCTAAAGAGGTAGAATGATCATATCACGAATGATTCTGTGTGCTCAGCCTGAGGAGCTGGTGAAGAATTATGAACAGAAGAGTGACACATATTTGTATTTTAAAAAGATCACTTTGGCAGCAATGTAAAAGTTGTGTAGGATGAAGTCATATTGGATTTAGGAAGACTTGTAGTAAAGAGGCTGTAGAATAATCTAGATAAAAAGTGATGGAGGAATGACTAAGCAGGCATTAGCAGTAGCAATGGAGAAAAAGGATGATTAGAAAGAAATTGTGAAGATACTATAGCATCTTTAGGTCTTGGCTGTAGAAGGTGAGAGGAGACTCCAGAATGACTTTTAGGTTTCTGTATTTTGATTTGGTACTGGAATGAGATATTTCAAAAAGAAAAATAAGTTAATGTGAACAGGAAAGATTTTGAGTTCCATTTTGAACAAATTAAATTGGAAGTATCATGGAAACACTCAAGTAGTTGACTGTAGAGACCTGGAAGGCAGGAAGGAGTTCTGGGCACTAGTGTAGATTGGAAATTCTTGGCTTTTATATGGTATTTGAAGCTGTTGGATTCATTTATTCAGCTAATATTTTTTGAGTATCTGAGTAAAGTATACACTGTTGTAGGAGACACAGCAGGGGACAAAACAGCTAAGTCCCTACTTTATGGAAATAATATGGAGGAGTCAGATCAGTAAATTAAATGAATATGTATGTCTGGTGGGTAAGGCAATAGTGAGGCCATCAGTGTGGTTGGAGCAGAGTTAGCAGGGGTGGGACTGGAGATGAAGGGGATTATGTAAGCCTGTTGGCTACTGAAAGAACTTTTGTTCTTATTCTTAGGGAGCTGTGGAGACATGGAAATGATTTGAGCAGAAGCATAGCATAATCTGATTTATATGGATAGCAGTGCTCAGGGAGGGAGTATAGAATGAAAGAACAGAGGAACAAGAATACTAATTTTTTAAATAGCTTTATTGAGATAATATAATTCACACCACTTTCAATTCACCCGTTCATTGGTGTTTAGTATATTCATCAAGTTTTGTAGCCATCAGCACAATTTAAATTTAGTATCTTTGTGTCACTCCCTAGAGAGTCTCATGCCCATTAGCAGTTACTGCTCAGCACCCAGCCTCTAGCCACCACCCTAAGCAAACACGAATCTACTTATTCTCCCTATAGATTTGCCTATTCTGGACACCACTCGTGAATGAAAGTGTATAATATGCAGTCTTCAGAGAATAACTTCTTTAGCATAGTATTTTCTTTTTTTTTTTTTTTTTGAGTTGGAGTCTCACTCTGTTTCCCAGGCTGGAGTGCAATGGAATACTCACAGCCCCTGCAGCCTTGACCGCTGGGCTCGGGCGATCCTTCCACCTCAGCCTTTCTTTTTTTTTTTGAGTTGGAGTCTCACTCTGTCACCCAGACTGGAGTGCAGTGGCATGCTCCCGGCCACCGCAGCCTCAACCTGCTGGGCTCCAGCAATCCTTCCGTCTCAGCCTTCCAGGTAGCTGGAATTACAGGTGCGCACTACCACACCCGGCTAATTTTTAAAAAATTTATTGTAGAGATGAGGTCTCGCCAAGTTGCCCAGGCTGGTCTCGAACCCACAGATTCATGCAATCCACTCACCTCAGCCTCCCAAAGTGCTGGGATTACAGGCTGAGCCACAAGCCTGGCTCCACTTCAGCCTTTCAAGTAGCCTGGCTAATTTTTCTTGATTTATTGTAGAGACAAGTTTTCACCAAGTTGCCCAGGATGGCCTCAAACCCCTGGGCTCAGATAATACTCTCACCTCAATGTTGCTCCCAAAGTGCTGAGATTACAGACAGGTGTGAGCCACTGCACCCAGCCTCTGCATAATTTCAAGGTTCATCCATGTTGAACCTTGTAATAAAGTATCAATACTTTATTCCTCTTTATTGCTGAATAATATTCCATTGTATGGATAGATCATTTTTTTGGTTTTGTTTTTAAGAAACAAGGTCTTGCTTTGTCACTGACGCTGGAGTACAGTGGCACAATCATATCTACTGCAGTCTCAGACTCCTGGACTCAAGTGATTCTCCTGCCTCAACCTCCAGAGCAGCAGAGTCTATAGGCATGCACCACCACATCCAGCTCATTTTCAAGAATTCTTTTAGAGATGGCAGGGTCTCATTATGTTGCCCAGGCTGGTCTCTAGTTCCTGGATTGAAATGATCCTCCCACCCTCAGCCTCCAGAGTAGTTGGAGTAACTAGGATTAAAGGTGCATGCTGCTGCACCTCGCCTGGTGTATCATATTTTATTTATCCATTCATCAGTTTATATACATTTGAGTTGTTTCTGTTTTTCAGTTATTATGATTAATGATGCTATGAGCATTTGTTTGCAACTTTTTGTGTAGATATATGTTTTTATTTCTCTTGAGTATATGAGTAGGACCCCAAAAAACCTGGAATTATCTTTTGGAGAGTGGGTTCCTTGTAGTGCAGGCTTTCCCAGCTAGATAAGTGTTCCAGGAATCCCTCGTCATCAGTGTACCAGCTAGCATTGTTGTGAGAGGCTGCGTTCAGCTTCAGGGAATTTTTTTGTGGCAAACAGGTAACTAGTTCTTCACAGTTTACAATGTACCTGCCCACACTGTGCTGAGTGTTCAGCAGTTTTTAACCAAAAATGGCATGACCCCCAGGCCCTACCCTCCTTACTCACCTGGCCTTGCCCCAGGTGACTGTTTTTTTTTTTTTTTTTTTCCTGGATGAAAAAAGTCCTCAAAGAGCAATCTTTTGCCAATGTGGAACAAAAAAAGGCAGTAGCACTCAAAAGCATAAAAACTGATGAGTTCAAAAACTGTCTTGAGCAGTGGAAAAAGCATCTCTATAGGTGGATGTATCAAATAGAGAGTACCCTGAAGGTGACTGAAGTTTAAATATGTAAATTTTTGGGGGGTCCCCCTTCATATACCTAGGAGTGGAATTGCTGGGTCATGTGGGAACTCTATGTTTAATCTTTTAAGACATTGACAAACTGTTTTCCAATGTGATGGAAATACCAATATTAAAGGGGCTAGTGGAAAAAATGCTATGAAAAACTGCTAGAGACACAAGAGGAAAGGCAGAAAATGATAACCTTCATTTCCTTTTTTCTCCTTTATCCCTCACATTTAACAAGTTTTAATCATATCTCATAAACAATTGTCTTATAATATGTTAATATCTTTTTTGTTGTTGTTGTTGAGTTGGAGTCTCACTCTGTTGTCTAGATTGGAGTGCAGTGGCACGCTCCCGGCCACTGCAGCCTCGACCTGCTGGGCTCCGGCGATCCTTCCGCCTCAGCCTCCAAGTAGTCGGAATTACAGGTGCACGCTACCATGCCCGGCTAATTTTTGATTTATTGTAGAGACAAGGTCTCGCCAAGTTGCCTGAGCGGATCTCGAACCCATGGGTTCAGGCAATCCACTTGCCTCGGCCTCTCAAAGTGCTGGGATTACAGTCTGAGCCACCAAGTCCGGCTGTCAACATCTTATTATAAGCACTAATCATCTCCCTGATTCTGCATACTATCCCTTTACAATAATCTCTTAAATTGTCTTCTGTTGTCCCCTCTAATGCATTCTAATTCTATTTTCTTTTTTTGTTTTTTTGAATTGGAGTCTTACTCTGTCTCCCAGGCTGGAGTGCAATGACACACTCATGGCCACTGCAGCCTCATCCTGCTGGGCTCAAACAATCCCTCTGCCTTCCAAGTAGCTGGGACCACAGGTGCATGCCCCCATGCCTGGCTAATATCTTGATTTATTGTAGAGATGAGCTCTCACCAAGTTGCCTAGACTGGTCTTGAATCCCTGGGCTCAGGCAGTCCTTTCACCTCCACCTCCCAAAGTTCTGGGATTACAGACATGAGCCCCCATGCTCTACCTAATTCTATTTTCTTTGCAAGTCTTTCCATTCCAAGACTTCCTGGAAGGAATTAAGTTCTTGAATTTCCTGTGTATACACCTTTACTCTCACACAGACTGATGCATAACAAGCATTCAAAATAGTTGTACTCTCTCTTTTTATTTTATTTTATTTTTGAGTTGGGGATCTCACTGTTACTCAGATAGAGTGCAGTGGCACGATCACGGCTCACTGCAGCCTCGACCTCCTGGACTCAGTTGATCCTCCTGCTTCAGCCTCCTGAGTAGCAGGACTACCAGTGTGCGCCACTGTGTCCAGCTAATTTTTTTTTTTTGTTGGTAGAAATGAGGTCTCACTATGTTGCCTAGGCTGGTCTTGAACTCTTTGGCTCAAGCCATCCTCCTGCCTCAGCCTCCCAAACTGCTGAGATTACAGGTGTGAGCCCCTGTGACTTGCCTTAGAATAGATGCACTTTTAAGTCCAAGTTAAACAAAGTTTATAATTTTTTCATTATATTATTTACTTGTATAACAATTTTTTATTTGTTATTGAAGATTTGTTATCAAAGATGTTTAAAAGCAGAATTGTGTTTTCTGTTCCTTTTTAATATTTATTTTGTTTTAATACAGGCAATTTTATATGATGACAAAGGAGCATGTTTGGAGAGTCTGTTTCTTAAGAGTCTTGAGGTATTTTAATGTGTTCATCTTATTTTTAAGTTATTATTTTAAAATGTCTTCAAATTTATAAAATATTGTTAAATAGTGTAATCATGATACTAATACTATTTGTTGAGCATTTATTATAACTAGACTTTGTGCAAAAAGTTTTTAGATATTGTTTCATTTAATCATTACAAAAATGCTGTGAGTTTTATAGCTTAGGAGTGCAGTGCAGAAAGGTTAAATAACTTGCCCATGTTCATAACATTTCAGTAGCTTAGGAGGGCTGGGATTTGAATCCAGAAAGTGACTCTTGAGTCTAATTCTACTACATGTTTTTTTGGTAGGCAGAGATCCACATGGGAAATATTTTGTGAAATATTCCCATTTACATATTTTCTTAAATATTTAGTCTGTGATTTCCCTCTAAAAGAGGAAAAAGGAAGGGAAGGGAGCTAAAGGCATATGTTTTAGTGTAAAAAATGAGGATATTAGTGTTAATCATTCTAGGTTCATTTCCCACTTCCAAATACTTCCTAGCTAACCTAACCTCTCTGTGACTAACTTCTCTACTGTAAAATATAGATCACAGGCAGACTTTACAGGGTTGGTCTGAAGATTAGAAATAATTTACGTAGGCAGGCTGGGTATGTGGCTCATGCCTGTAATCCCAGCACTTTAGGAGGCCAAGGTGAGAGGATTGCTTGAGCCTAGAATTTTAAGACCAGCCTGGGCAGCATAGTGAGATGTTGTTTCTACAAAAAGTAAAAAAAAATTAGCCAGGCATAGTTGTACCCGTCTGTAGCCCCAGCTACTCAGGAGGCTGAGGCTGAAGGATCGCCTGAGCCTAGGTTGTTGAGGCTGCAGTGAGCCGTGATCATACCACTGCACTCCAGCCTTGGCGACAGAGTAAGACTGCAACTTGACTCAAAAAAAAAAAAAAAAAAATAAGTCGGGTTCGGTGGCTCAGCCTGTAATCCCGCGCCTTGGGAGGCTGAAGTGAGTGGATTGCCTGAGCCTGGGGGTTTGAGACCCGCCTGGGCAATTTGGTGAGACCTCATCTCTACAATGAATCAAAAAATCAGCCAGGCGTGGTAGCGTACGCCTGTAGTTCCGGCTACTCAGAAGGCTGAGGCGGAAGGATCGCCGGAG